AGTCATCTGAACCATCACCTCTACCAGTCATTCCTCCTTTAAGAAGATTCACTAGACAGTCTAAGCCTCCTAGTTGGATGACAGATTTTGATTTGACTAATCTTGTTACCAGTTCTATTCCTCCTTCTGAATTCCCTCATCCTACATCTTCTCCACATACACCAAATACTTATGCTTATCATGTTTCTCATGCTTTCTCCTCGCACCATATGTCTTTTCTGGAAAGTATCAGTAGTTACAAGGAACCAAAGTGTTTTTCATAGGCTAGGTATAATCCTGAGTGGCTCAAGGCCATGCAAGTGGAATTAGATGCTTTGGAGCAAAACAGAACCTGGATTCTTACTTCTCTGTCACCCGGAAAAACTGCCATTGGAAACAAATGGGTTTATAAGATCAAGCACTATTCAGATGGCTCCATTGAAAGGTATAAAGCTTGATTAGTGGCTAAGGGTTATAGTCAAATAGAAAGAGAAGACTTCTTGATTGTTTTTCACCAGTGGCCAAGGTTGTGATAGTGAGATTGTTTCTGGCCATTGCTGCTGCACAAGGTTGGCCATTACAATAGTTGGATATCAATAATGCCTTTTTACATGGGCATTTGGATGAGGACGTATACATGGTACCACCTGAGGGGTATGATAAGGCTCTTCCAGGACAGGTTTGCAAGTTGGAAAAGTCTCTATATGGCTTGGAGCAAGCTTCAAGACAATGGAATGTGGAATTTACCACCCAGATTCAGTCTTATAGTTTTAAACAGTCAGTCCATGGTCCTTGTCCGTTCACTGGTGTATTGGAAGGGAATTTCGACGCATTAATTCTCTATGTTGATGATATTATCATCACAGGATCCAGTGGCCAAGTCATTGCCAAAGTGAAGCAGTTTCTGCATGACAAGTTTACTATAAAAGAGTTAGGAAATGCTAAGTATTTTCTTGGCATTGAGTTAGCCAGATCACTAGATGGATTATATTTGAATCAAAGAAAATATATTTTGGACATTTTGCAGGATACTGGTATGCTTGGATGTAAAACAACTAGTACACCTTTACCAAAAGGTCACCAATTCTCAGATTCTCCAGGTTCCTCTTTATAAGATCCTTCAAGATACAATATAAATCTAATAAATAGATTTATATTGACTAAATCTTCTCGAACGATGCACAATAAACCCGCAATAATCATCAACGAGGTCACGAATCCTGTCATCAACAAACAAACCCTATCCTCAACCAGTAGATTTCGACCAACCCACCGGAGGAACTATAATAAAAAGAACCCTACCCTCTCAATAGACTATAATCTATTGAAGAAACAAACTTTCAACTGAAAAGAGTAAAATAATCCCGTTTATTAAATGATATAATGAAAACTGTGCTTATAAAACTAGAATAAAATTATTTCCCCCATCTTCCCAGGGTGAGAAGATGGGGGAAGATTGGTTTTTTCGGAGATGGCTTGAGAGAGGAAGAGAGGAGAGACGCGACTAGTTCATATTCGTACTCGATAAATATGTCAGTGAATATTAGTTAAAAATTTATCTTGATGCGTAAGTTAATCAAAAATTATTTAAATAATTTGTTTTTATTGTATTCTATGTGCATATTTCTTTAATTATAAAATAAAAGGACATAGAGAAATACATATGCAGAAGAAATCATCTTCAGGTCACAATCTTCTCGTAAAATTCTGTATGAAGAAGACTTGGAATGGGAAAGAAAAGTAAATTCTATTTATATAACTACTTTGCTCAATAAGAAGTCATTCAAAGGTACGCTTTACTTCTGAGCGCATCTCATCTTCTTTTCTTTCTTCGCTTGTTTTGTTTTCCTTTTTGTCCCCTTTAAAGGGGACTTCTCAATTTTGACCTGTTTTAAGTTACACAATTGTGTTTTGTTTAAATCCCAATATACATAATGTTCATAGTTATTATGCTAATTGGTGATTGAAATATAAATTTCAATCAATCACAAGGTGATTTTACTAAGGCATTGGTGACGTAGGCACAACCCTAGAATCAATTGGAAACAACCTATACACGATCACATGATCACCAATAATATGGAACAATTGTAGAATAGGGCCTAATCACGGAATCACCAACTATATGGAACAAAACCGGGATTAGAACTAATTATCCCACCAACAATTATGGAACATGAAAACTAGTTTTTGAAAATAACTCTCTTTTTTGATTAATCAACAACAACTCAACAAATGGAGGGGTGGTTGTGCCATTTTAACAACGAAAAATAAAACCCTAGCAACTAGTGAAAAGACCAAAAAGTCCATGACAAAAAAACTATTAAAACAGAATTAAAATAAGCATCTTCTTTTATTTTCGGCTGCATCAAACCCTAGCACATCACTCGGCATCATTCTCCAGAGATTGAAGAAAATTCGTACTCGAATTTGGAGAGAAATGAACAGCACCAAGAGGTGGCGCCAAAAGCATACCACGGGAAACATCATCCATCGGAACACCATCAATCCAAGGACCTAACATAACTGGCAAACAAAGTAGACTCGAGGCGCCAGATGAAAAATCACTAACTTTCCCAGGCAACAACACAATCTTAGACCCATGAAAAAGAAAACTATAGATATTTGCCCGACCCGAATGAGAGACATCTCGATCATATTGCCAGGGACAACCAAGTAAGACATGATAAGCATCCATTTTAACAACATCTCACCAAATATCATCCTTATACTTGTTGGCAACTGAAAGAGAAACAAGGAATCACCTAGAAACAGTTACCTCGCCACCTTTTGTGAGCAAAGAAAGTTTATACGGAGAGGGATGTTTCTCCGTAGTGAGACCCAACTTGCTAACGGCCTCTGTAGAAACAAAGTTTGAACAACTCCCGGCATCAATCATAAAACGAAAAACCTTGTCCTTGATAGTGCAAGTCGACTGAAAAGGATTGGTTTAAAGCCACTCATTTTCAGAGAAAGGCAAAGCAAGACACGAACGAAGCGAGACGAGAGCTAGACCAACATCACGTGATAGTAATTCCTCTTCAGCGTTGTCGTCGGTGTCATAAACAGGGTTGGCATCCTCCACCACCACTGCTGAAGTGTCAACAACATCACTAACATCACCAAGGAGAGCCCATTTGTGTGGTTTCGAGCAATCATTCTATTGATGGCCATACTCACCACAATTAAAACATTTAATGTTGTTACGGGGAGGACGGGATTGCTCTTGAGGCACCGGTTCAGTTGCAGTACCCCTTGAACCGTACCCCTTGAACCGCCGTATTGCTGGTTGGAAGTGAGCTGTTCGACAACACCGGATCGACCCAAAGTGAGACTGACCGACGTTGCTACTGCCTCTCGACATCCAGTGCCAGCTGTTGAGCTGCCGGAATTGATGGTGGATCAAGAAGAGAAACAACGTCCTGAATAGAAGGACATAACCCGCCAATGTACCGCGCCACCTTTTGATCTCAAGTTTCGGCCAAATCGTTCCAAGACAAAAACTTGTAGAAATCAAAGGTATAATCATTCATCGAATGGCTGCCTTGATGAAGATTCTGCAATCTTTGATAGATGGTTCGCTGGAAAGTTGCCCGAAGAAATTCATCCCGCAAAGCACTCTTCATCTTAGACCAGGAACGGATTTTCTTCTTGCCACGGCGATCATGGTCCAACTTGAGTTGCTGCCACCAAGTAGAGGCTCGGTCCCGAAGGCGAGTGGCAACCAAGGGCACCCATTTATTCTCTTGAACAAATTTGAATTCAAAGATTTCTTTAACATGGGTGAGCCAGTCAGCAAAATCTTCCGGCTGTGACGAACCCGCAAACACAGGAATTTCAATGCGCATACTTGTCTCCCACGCACATCTCTCATCCTTATTCAGTCCCTTCCGTTGGCGAGAAACAGATGAAGACCGATCTCAACCAGAAGAAGCATCGCTGGACTCATCCTCCGCCGTCGACGAGCCATAACTGTTGGACAAACTTTCAACCCTCGATGACCGTTTAGGGCTGTCCGACCCATATCCGTTGCGAGAACCGCACCTACTTGCTGTCCAATTGCGACAACCAGTCGTACTTCCAAATCTGCCGTATATTGGTCGAAATCAGCTTTCAATTCCTTGCACATCTCCTCCATCAATTGAGTGTCCTCTTTTGGAGACATTGCAAAGAGAGAGGGGAAATTCACGGAAAAAAAACTTGAAATTCGAAAAAAAAAATGTAAAAAAAACCCGTCACGATCCAAAGAACAAACCGGCTCTGATCCAACTGATGTAGGTGCTAGAATCAATCGGAAACAACTTAAACACGATCACTAACAATATGGAACAATCGTAGAATATGGCCTAATCACGGAATCACCAACAATATAGAAGAAAACCAGGATTAGAACTAATTAACCCACCAACAATTATGGAACAAGAAAACTAACTTTTGAGAATAACTCTTTTTTTTTTTATTAATCAACAACAACTGAACAAATAGAGGGGCAGTTGTGCCCTTTTAACAACGAAAAATAAAATCTTAGGAACTAGTGAAAAGACTAAAAAGTCCATGACAAAAAAATTATTAAAATAAAATTAAAATAAACGTCTTCTTTTATTTCCGGCCGCATCAAACCCTTGCACATCACTCGGCATCAATTGGTAGATTAATTGCTCATCTGGCCATGAGGGGATTGTGTTTGAAACGCCTTAGATGTTTCAAGAATCAGGATAATCCAAAAATTTCCTGCATGATAAATTCAAGGAACTGATGTTACGGTTATTGTGACTTCTAAGAATGTTTTAAATGTGTGACAGGCAATTTGCCCTGTTTATAACTGAGAAAATTGTTTTCAAAACATGCGCTAGAAATTTAGTCTGGAATTTATTAAAACCAACGAAATGAGTAGATTTCCTACGTACTTATTACTCCTTGGTCCTTATCTCACGAGCCGAAATTCCTGACATGTAAGTTAAGAGCAATGCTAACTCACTATCTGTCTGGAAAAACTAGTTCACTCAAAATTCAATATGTCCTATTTTTTGGGGAACAGAGGTAGTATTTACCATGTTTTTGAATTTTGTGTTCATCAAGTCGAATTCATTAGTACCGACTTTGATCCTATTTATAAATGCATATATTATTGAACATAATGTTTAATAGGATTAGAGGAACAAATGAAAGGGAGATAGTGAGGCGTGTGGAGTGGGGACGAGTTCAATGCAGTAGAGATTTGGAGAAGCAGCAGACAAAGGGAGGATGGAAAGAGTCATTCAAGCAATAATTCCCGCATTCTTCGATCCTTCCTTTCCTCCCACTCCCATTTGTCACCTTTTCACATACCAAAAATACTTCTAAATTATTGCATTTTTTTCCCCTCCTTTATATATTTTTTCCTCTTATTATTAGTTTAATCGCCTATCCTGTTGAAAAATGGACCCTTTTTGAAAATCAATATTAAATGTAACAGACATATATATCGTGACATTCCATTTCCTTTTCTATTGGCCAGAAGGAATGAAGGAAATAAGGAAAGAAGAAGACGACCTGTTGGTTCAATCTTCAAATTGGCTACCACTCGTTTATCTCTCCCCGAGATGGATCTTTTTTTGAATTTCTCCATTTTTGGTTGATCAATACCATCTGGGATTGTTTCCCCCTTCCCCACCAAATTATCATTTCTTTCTCTCTTGATTCTTCTTCCCCCAAATTTCTTCCATAGGAGAAGAAAACTCTGTTTTTTTTTTTTTTCTCGCACAGATCATCATCAACTGCTATTTTGCAATAATGGTAGCTGGCGGTAGTTTTTCGCTGTTTGATCGAGTTAGGATTATTGGGTCCTCCTTCTCCTCTGTTTTTTTTTTTTTTTTTGTAATTGCAGATTACCTTCATTGATGAATTTCATTGCTTTCTAGTTTACCTTTTTCGGTTTCGTTTTTGTGTTTCTTAAACTCTACGATTCTTTTTTATTCCATTTTCTAGGAGCCCTGTCCGCGTTTTAATAATTCCCCGCACTTTCGCCTGCTGCAAATTTTTAATTTTTTTTGGAATAATCTTTTACCCAATTCTTTACCAAATTCCGCTACAAATCCAGCTCATTCATTGGGGAATGTTCTTCTAATCCATTCCCCAATCCAATCCAATCCAACACCTCCATATTTTTATCGAAGTTAGCATCTTTTTTTTATTTTCAAAACCCAGATTTTAGTTTTTTTTGTTTCTGAATTAAGGATTACAACTCACATCTTATTAGGATTGGTGGACAGATAGATACTGTTTAGTCCCGGTGGTTTCACACCTTTGATAAAAAAATAAAAAAAAAAAGAGAAGAAAATAATGGGGTGTGCGACATCAAAGCCAAAAGTATGCCAGAAATGCCACGAATCTTACTCGCCGGTGCGCCGGAGTTATTCATTGCACGCGTACCACCCGCCGGAGAAGGATGGGGATAGCTATCATCTGGTGGCGCTGACATCCTCCACATTGGGGTCATTAAAGCTTGATTTGTTGGATCATAAGAATTATCATCCAATCAAAGAAGAAAAAGGAGACAGGGGAGATGAACAACAACACAGAGGAGGCCATCATCATCATAACCTTGCTGATGTAAAATTAAGGAAAGAAGAATTTGCAATGGGCGTGGTTGAGGCCAAGAGTTGGTCCAGAATGATCGATGAAAAGATCCCGAAAATTGTTCCCAGAACGCCGGTCAGAACGCCTCCAGGTGAGCCTGAAACTATCAATGCTTGGGAATTAATGGAAGGGCTTGAAGATACTAGTCCTTTAAAGCCTCCTCCTTTTCATCATATTCGCAGCTTTTCTTTTCATCTGGGTTCCGATCAGATGGGCCATTTCACCGCCGATGATCAGCCGACACCCAGAGTTCAAGAAAACGGCGAATCAACTACTACATTGCAGAAGCCAATTTGGTTAGACTTGGCCGAAAATGAATCCAATTGTAATTCCAATGACACATCCATTGTTTCCGAATTCGATCCTGAAGTTATTTCCACGTTTAGGAAAGCACTCGAGGAGCTTCCTCCGGCGAACCCTTTTCATCTCAAGCCGTTGGCCGGCGAAAATGGGCAGGCTTTGGTCGGCAAAGGTCCCGCCTTGGAAGCACCGGAGGATCATCTTGTAGATGTAGAAAATAAGGAAGTGAAAGGCTCGGCAGCAGATACGACAAGAGGAAAAGACAGATTAATCGTGTATTTTACAAGCCTCAGGGGAGTTAGAAAAACCTACGAGGATTGCTGTTCTGTTAGAGTAATCTTAAAAGGGTTAGGCGTTAAGGTTGATGAAAGGGATGTATCAATGCATTCAGGATTCAAGGAAGAATTGAAAGAATTATTAGGTGAAGGTTGGCCTAGTAGTAAAGGTGGATTACCAAAGGTGTTCATCGGGAAGAAATTCTTAGGTGGGGTGGACGAGATCAAGAAATTGAACGAGGATGGACAGCTTGAGAAGGTTGTTGAAGGCTGTGAAGCGGTGGATGACGGCGGCGGTGGCGGCGGCGGCGGCGTCGGAAATGTTGTTAGTCCATGTCAGGCATGTGGGGACGTTAGGTTTGTGCCTTGTGAAACGTGTTCCGGGAGTTGTAAAGTATACTATGAAGGTGATTATGACAATGACGACGATGAACAAGAGTGTGAGGATGCTGAATTTGGTTTCCAAAGATGCCCGGATTGCAATGAAAATGGCCTAATTAGATGTCCAATTTGTTGTGATTAAAACTTTGATCAATGGTTTTTGTTTTGCTTCTTGTTATGTTTGTTGTACAGTGAGAAAGAATTGAATGATTAGTACAGTTTTAAGAAAAGGTTATTTTTCTTGATAGATTGTTACTCAAAAAAGAAATGGTGATTTTTTTTGTTTTCCAGATTGTGTTTTTGAGTTATTGAGATGATGATGCACTTTCCAACTCCACTACTACACATGTGTGGGTGTATGTGATGAGTGCCAGTTAAAATGCGAGAACCTAATTTGTATTCTTTTCTTGCTCCTTTTTGTGCATCTTTCTATTAAGGTAAAGCAAAATGCAATTTTGCAATGATGAATATACACCAAATCCATCTACTTTTTTCTTTTCTTGTTTTTTTACTTCAATTCATGAATGGGGAAACGAAAAATTAAGTAGCTAGGAAGTGGCCATGCTTTAGCAAATGTCTCGAGCTACTTGTAAGAAAGCCGAAGGTTTGTCTCCAATATGTGGAGGATATATCACGTTTGTGACTCTTTTTGTTGGTGTCTTTTTGGGGTTTTTTTTTTTTTGGCATGATGACAGACAGAAAGGTTATATGAGAACTGAACCTAGAAGAAGTATCTCTCAAGAAAGTTGGCAAATTTATGGGCAGAATTTATAGTGGTCCTTCAATTTAGGGACTGATGTATGATGAGATAAGTCAGTGTTCCAAATTTAAATTTTAAGAAAAACATTATCTATCTCTATTCAACTTAAAACATTTTGAGTTGTTCAAAACCTGTTTAGAACCTGTTTAGTTCATAGAATCTTACAATGAGCGCGGTTAAATCCGAGTCGACTCGAAACGCCAATTTCCGAACCCAAAATATGTCTATAACTACTTCAAATTGCAAAAAGTATTGCACCAAATAAACTAAAAATAGGGATTTTGGTAGCTACTTGATGCATCCCACTAAGAAGAACTCAACTTAGAAAGGACAATTCGACAAATCAAATTGGGGAGCACGAATTAATTTTCAATTTTTTGTTGACTACAGAAACACTATACATTGCTGGCTTAGCTGTTGTAGTTGTTTGACCGGTCTATAATTGTTCATAAGGGTCTATTTTATATTATGTTCGTCTCCTATATTTTTGAATTAGCATGAATTTAGGGGATTCTCTGAAATCTGAATGGAGGACAATGTACGGTGTACCCCGTGTTTTCTCTTGCCCGACGCTAAAAAAAGTGAACTGCACCCACAACACTCACTTGTAAAAGAGCTAAAATAATTAATGTTGTTCCTGAATTTCAACAAAAAACTCAAAATAATTTCAGCCCCGTAATAACTCTTAAAACTTCTGAGATTTTGTGTAGTAATAATTAATGCCCGCGCTACGAATGAATTACATGGGTCAAAGGTAATTGTTTCCTTGCATTCATTCTTGGAAGTTCATTAGAATGGGAAAAAATGGTTAGAAAGAAAAGTACGCGGCAACTTGCAAGACTTCCTAACAACTAAAGTTTGGAACGGTCTGAAATGATTGAATTAAAATTTAGAAACCACTCACATTCACAAGAGAATGAAGAAAATGACAGACAGTTGAGCTAATTTTGACGTACTTTGATGTTACGGTTGAGCTTTATATATTTAGCTAAATGTTGTTTGGCACGATTGCATATTACACAAATAGCACAGTACTCCCTCCATTCCAAAATAAGTGTCGTTTTAGCAAAATAGATTAATTTTAAAATAAGTGTCGTTTTTGAATTTCAATGCATTTTTTATCAAAAATTTCCAAACATACCCTCAAAAAAGAAATAATATTATCAGTGAGCATTTATTTAATGTAGTTTGTTGAGGATATTCTAGTAATTTAAATATCCTATTTTATGTGTTTTTCTTAAATTATGTGCAAAGTTTAGAATGACACTTATTTTAAAAGGGAAGGAGTAGTATTTGACAATGGTCCTGACCATTATTCCACTCCATCAAACTTAAAAACAAATAGATATAGGTTGTAAGTCTCCGACATTCCGGTCCGAAATCTTAAATCTTAGCAGTTGTAAGCTTTCAATTTTTGCCCTAATCTCGTGGAGTCGTATTCACTCAAAAGGATGGATATTGCTCCACCAAAAAAGATAATGGGATCAAACTATTTTTTTTTTTAATTTTCTTAGTTGGTAGCATCAATTATAAGAACATTTATGGAACTATGATCTATATGGAGTGTAATACCGATTTTGTCAGGTAAAATCAACCGAGCAGTGGAATACAAGAATGATGGAGAGCCCAAATTGATGGGGACCCCAATAGCTTGGAACACCAAATTTGATCATGGCTTGGAGTATTTTATTTCATTGTCATGACTCATGAATCAATATCCCTCCCTTTTATGGTTGTGAATCGGAAATAAAGATTTCTATATCTGTTGGTTGGTTTTTGTCAATGATTTCCTCAATGGTTTAAATTCACGTAAATGAGGGAAACTAGTTTGGGATGTCGGTAGGAACACCTTAAATTTAAATGCAGCTAACCTTTTTATATTGAGTCAAGTTTATATAATTAAAATTGGCAAACAATTTATTTTGAGCCATCCATGTCCAACATAAAACCTTGATCTACTGGAATAGTGGGAAATTTTTTTTTTTTTTTAAAAAATAAAGGATATAGAAGTAGTATTAGTAGTAGTAGTGTATTATGATCTGAAAGTGCTATATTAACAATGAATTAAAAGTGTACATTTTTAGATTTTTGATGGTTTCAAAGTGGATGGAAAGGCGCCGGAAGGAGCTGGCAATCCTTTTTCTGGGTAGAAAAAGCAAACAGCGTCTTAATCGGGTTGATATAATTAATCTTCGTTTACTAATACTCCCCGAAAAGCAATCTTGTTGAATTGTTTGCAATTAAATTAGTACTACTAAAGACTTTTTTTGTAGCCTCCATATACTCCACAATGATAATGAAGCCATAATATTAAGGCTGCATAAGATAAAATATACTCCCTTCGTCTCATAATTATTATCTAGAAAAAATTGTATTAAAAGTGAAATAACAAACTAGACAATAATTTTAGGACAGAGAGAGTAATTGATTGTGCGATTCCTCATAATTTTGGGACAGGATATATGACTCTATGAGAACAATTAGTAAAAATTTGAAAGAGCAAATGGCTAATGAAGAGAAGGGTGGGGTGGGGGCGGGCAATATCTATCACCATTCCGGAAGGAAGAAATTACAAATGGCGCATTCGTTTTGCATTCATTTGCTCCTTCCTTCAAACGCAAATTACCGGCTTACCACAATCTTAATTTTGACTAATTCAAACAATAAGGACACTTTAATTAGTCAGTCTAGTTCTACGCTTAAAGCGAGTCACGGACAGCGTGTCTGCCGAGATTAGTTGAACGAAATTGTTCTTCCACCCACTCCACTTTAATAAAAAACCGACCGTTCTTTCTTACTCCCTCCATCCCATAATTATTGTCCAATTTGTGATTTTATTTTTAGTTCAAATTAAACTAAAAGTGAAATTTCAGATTGGACAATAATTAAGGGACAGAGAGACTACATTAATTTAACAATGGGATGAATTCAAATCAAAGGGACCCAAACGCCGTAGTTCCTGCAGGCACATCCTACGTCGTGAGAACCTGAAACCTAGTAGCATATGAAGCCCGGAATAGTATGGTCCAACGTAAGAGAATCTTGACCTGTTGGAAATATGTGAAGAACATGATCTTTCCCACTGATTCCGAATTCCAAGCCACGAAAGATGATTCCCCTTACATTGACTCTGGTCCAGTCTACAGAAGCTATAAAATTAAAATATACGTTTTCGAACACACAGCAAGCCTTTCTAAGTACAACCACAACTCTGTTTCTATATCATCATCATCAATAACCTTAACCTAAGATCAGTGGTAGTAGTGATTACACCTTTAAAACAAGGATGAGTTCAATATGCCGGCTTTCATTTCGGCGCGCCTCTTTGACCTAAATTAGCTGCGGCTCTGGCCGCATGGTCCAACACGCTTGCGACGCAAAGAGCTCCCTTGGAGAAGTAACTACTGCTGACCACGGCATTTGCTGTCGCAACGGCTTTTCTTCCGGTTGCTGATGCAGCAGTCATGGCTGTATTGGAGACATGATACTTTTTATCTATAGACTTGGCGACCTCCATGCCTGATTTGATTTTACTGGTGAGACCTAACTTGTCGCTGAGCTCCCCAACCTTTGTGGCTGCTGTAGATGAGACTTGATAGGACTCGTCCAAAGCTTTGGCTATAATAAATGCCTCCTTACCCTTGGCCATCAGAGATGTGACCACTTGTTGAACCCCGGTGCCAGCTTCTCCAGGAGTAGATACAGAACGATGCATCTGGGAGGCCTGCGGTGAATAACAAATTAAAGAGTTAGTATAGCGTGCTTCTAATATACATGTCCATGTTAGGTTCAGAAGGAGAAGTCAAATGAAGAACGTAAACTTTAACTAGCTCAAAAGAAATAACATACATTTGAGCTCGACACTGTATCAAAATTTGACAAATACTCATTCTCAGGAACAAACTCATCCATGGATGTCTGGGGAATAGACTCGTCCACAGATGTTTCGACACGGGATATTGAAACACATCGGTTTCCAATACTAGCTCCCTGAAACACCATTGAGGAAAACAATTCTTTAAATTAGTTGATCGAGATCAGTACCCTAAAATGGACAGTAATACTAAGCTGCAACTTGTATCTGAAGGAAGCAGTGTATCTGCTTCATTATCATAATAATATAAGAACATTTATCAGCATCCTAAACAAATTAAAAGATATGAGTAATGAAGAGCTTTTTAAAATTAGTCTCCAATGCCTGGACAAGAACACTTATATGCTAAATGCAGGGGCTACCAGTTATCCTCTCTCTGGTTTCTCTCTTAGTATAATATAACAGATTATAAACTCCACCAACAGAATTTTTACTTGCATAAGTTTCGATATGGAACTTGAGTTAGGCTTGGCATCTCTGGAAATAATGCATATCTAGGAATTTTTGTTTATTTTTGGTATACAAAATCGATATCTGAATATACTGTTTCCGCTACTCTGGATTCAGACCCTCGAGCCAATGACAAACAAAATCATTCCAAGCTACAAGATGAGGATTTCCCAGAAAAATGTACATCCAGGTCTGCATTCCAATATGACAAGGATGACTAGAGATATGAGTCAAATGAGCATAACAGTTTAGGGATTGAATCAAGTAGCATATAAAAGTGAAGTTACCATATGAGTCTTTACCCGATAGCATATTCATCACTCCCAAAAGAACACAAATCAGCATCCTTTCCAGGCAAAAGTTAAGAATTAATTATTTTTATGAACTTCCACATCTTAAGAAAAGCTTCCCCTCGAGCAAAAGTCTCAAATTTCACTCACTTAATCATGTCTGAATACACAAGCTTCCATGAATGCAAAAGTTTATTAACACCGATAATACAACATATAATCTTCCATAAATTCATAAAAAAATAATAAGAGAGAGATAGTTTGTGGTCTATCTGTTGCCAAAAGAAGACCGCCCTCAAAAATGAGCCTCATATCTCAATATATATGATACTGGAAAGAGTCTTACACTGAGCAATTCAGCAGTTTCTAGCGCATGAGAACCTCTAAAAGTAACGTATGCGGTACATATTTGATCTCCATACCTGCATTGGTAACCCAAATACTTGGAGATGTCAAAAAATCTGGACTGCAAAAGTAACTAAATCAAAGATGCCATCATAAAAGCAAGTTAGAACTAAAATGAGAATTCTGAGTGCGGATAGTTTCTAATTACTGAGCGTAAACAAGCCAATACAACCAACACCCAATTGATAATACGAGCCCTGGTTCCCTTCCAAGGAACAAGTGCAATGTAATTTTCCTATCTACTTACAACATACACAATAATAACAGGATAGCAAGACTCTATATTCCCACAAATTAAAGCTGGCACATTTAAGTGTCAACAAGCATCCCTTTTTCCATATGCTATAAGGCTCAAATACACTTGAGGTCGAGGAATGCATTCTTAATCTTGTAGTGGTTTAAATCGGTCCAAGCTGGCAATTATTAGGATAAGCAACTGGATTAAGAAATTACTCAGTGGCATTTCACATCTGTCTCAAAGTAACTTTTCACACAGCAACTGGTAAAGCCAAAAATTCACATACACATTAAACAGAACAGAAACACTAATATTCAGTAACGCATGATTATAAAAAACTATTTGATCATTTGACGATAATTATAGAGCAATAGAGCTATTCCCAAATATCAAAGCGTTATTTGCACATCTAAATCTCAGAAAGAATTCTTTTTCATGTTAGGTTCAAATACACTTGAGGAGTGCATCTCTAATCTAGTGCGGGCACAAATTGCTAAAGTAGGCTATTGGGCAAGTAACAGGATATAGACATTATTCAGTGGCATTCACATCTGTCCTGGAGCACATCAAAGACTTTTGACACAGCATCATCAAAAGCAAATTATACAGACTAAGCAATAAACAGAAGAGATTTTCTTCGGTAATTCATGATCATAAAAAACTACTTCATCATTTGCACTCAATCAATAAAAAAGCTTTACGGGCAAAGAAATGTCACCTGAAAATTTCCAGGTTCTCAATTTTACCACAACAAGAGAAGAATTCATGAATCTCCTTCTCCGTCACATTTGGAGGTAGACCAGTAACTTCAGCAGTATAACCGACTACACGCATTGCTACAGATTATCAGCTCAGTGCCTTCACGTCACCACTACCTACTTGAAACAAAAACAGAAAATGTGTACCGTTACAAGTGAAAACAGCTCACAAAATGAGGAAATGCACAACGAAACTTTGCTTTTGAGGGCAAATAAAGCCATATTGGCCAGAGGCTATCTTCTACCTATTTAAAATTAAATTTACCAAGCAATTTAGAATTCGGTCTTCAGACTTGAATACATGCCAAGTAATAAAGTCAATACAGGAAGCCAACAACCCAGAAAACAAACAAAATCCCCTCCTTTTGTACTTTAGCCAGCAGAATATTTCAGAACTACGAAACTTCATCAACCGAGGACATGTATACATGATCTTTTTTTTAAAAAAAAAAATAATAATAATAATAATAATAAGAATCTGTGATTCTAATAATACAGGAGAGAAATGTGGTAGAACAGTAAAAAGGAACGCTTCTGGCAAAAGCATAAAATTGCAGAAATGAAGCCCCAAAAGTAGCTTGCCACGAAATCACTCAAGTCAAAAGGAGGAGCTTGATATAATTTCTAATACAGTACAATTTACAAAAGACAAACAAAACGACAAAGAGTCTCAGAGGCTCAAGAAGAGAGAATCAGAGAGAGTTACAATTTACAAATTCAGTAATTTAGGCAGCAAATTAACACTGTTGTAAGAAATTCGTAACTTGCTAAACTGATTGTTACCGGAAACGTTTGGGAAAGTGAATCCGACGCCGAAGTATGTATAAGTCTTATCAACCAAAGCACTCCAAACTCCAAAGTCCAAACAGTTGGCCGCTCCCGGTAAGTGATCTTCGTGAAGACGCAAGTGTATCTTTTTTTATTTTCATTCATTTGTAGTATATTTATATTTAATTTTTTTAAAATATTAACAATGGCAAAAGGAAAGGTCGGTTGCCTTTTGGTTAGAGATTCATCTTGGATCCTGTCTTTTTTTTGTATCTTTCTCAGATTTCCAGGTAAGGCAGGCCTATTGTCCGAATATTGGATAATTAGAGTTTTATGGGGCAAGGCTATTACAAAGAATTTGGGCCAAAGTTCAATCTAGGCCTTCCTATGAATTTCAGTTTTCAGGTCCAGGAATCCCTTTATATTCTTTTTTTTTTTTTTCCTGGTAAAATTTTTTTGAAGCAATCGTGTGAGTATTTTAGATTATTACAGATCGTTGATAAGTCGGTGTTACTTTTATTCTTTTCATTTGCATATTACAGTGTCGACAAGAATAACTAATCACTCTAGTATGAGGTTTAACTTCTGAGTTGCTTCTTTTTTTTTTTTTTTTTTTACTCGTGTAGATGTAAAAAAATTGTAATTACGTTTAGAATAAAATTACATCAACTATCAGTTTATCCTTATATACGTAAATAAAAGGCACAGTAAGCAAAAAAAATGCCCAAGAAATATTGCAGGACCACCGTCAAATCGATCTCGTCCGTCGGATGGGGTCGATGTGATGTCAGCGACTTATTAGGGGCAAAAATAGAAATTCATAAATTCATCTCAATCCAAAAAAATAAGAAAATCCATAAGATTTTGAGGGAAAAAAACCCCAACCCACAAAACGACATCGTTTCGTACTTCTCACCAACCATTACAAAGACCTCATTGCCCTCATCGTTTACCCCAACCTACTTCCTCCTTATTTTCGGACACCTCACTATCTAAAAAGAAACGCACCATTCCCCTCGTCGTCCACGGAATCTCACACCTCTCCCCCAAAAAACAGAAAAACAGAAGGCACGCTCTCCTGCTCTGCTTACACTGACACCACCCATCGTCCATATTGACAAAATTTGCTTTACAATTTAATCCCTTCTGCAATGTATTCGATTGTCCCAACAAATTTGATACGAGATGCCTGAAACGTCGGCAAAGTGGGAATCTAATGATTCGGATAGCACCGTTCCCGCTGCCCTAGGTTTCAAGGACTCCGACAGTAGAGAAGCCGATGTTGAATGCATTGCTATAGATCTCAAAGCCGGTCTTCATCGCTCAAGGTCTTTCTTTTTCGCTTTTCCCTCCCTTTTCGTTTTTTTTCATTATGTTTCTTTTTTAAACAAATTCAATCTTTTTTTTATTAAAAGTAATCTCTTTGATGTGTTATCTATTTATTTCACCATTTATCTTTTGTTCTGCTAGATGTACTTTACCTTGCATTAGGTGTTTGAATATTGTTAGCGATGATGATAATTACAATGAAGTTGCAGGTGTATGGAAATTTAGTATTCTCGGAGTAAATTTCAAAAGTTTTGTTGTGGGCAATAATTATCTGATATATGTCTCTATTAATGTTTGAAGTTTTGCCTTTTACTTCCTTACAGATTATAGGTTTGTTAGAGAAATTAATCATCCTCCATTTAATGAGCTGTTTAGATTAATCCATGGCCCTTTAGCTGGGTCTAGGGGAATTCATATGCTCCACGAACGGAGCAAAAAGTAATACTCTGTAAAAGATCTCCTAATAGAAAACATCATTACCAAAGCTTCAGTTCTCAAGTTTTTTGTTTCGGCAAAGAAGAAAATTTGGTGTCTGTTTGAAAGTTATGCACACTTGGAGAACTTGCTGCAAAGTAAGGAATTTTGTGAACTGGAGTAGTAACATGTGTTTGATCTTTTGAGGGTGGTTTTCATGAACCTCTTTCCTCATGGTGATTATTACTGATTATGTTTCTAAAATACTGCTGAACAGAGAAAACAAAAACTCTCTGAAGTTAAACCCGGATTGGATGATGCTGATGCTTTGGTAACGTAATGGTTTCTCTTTTAGAAGGTTTGAAGCTTTTATCATATTTTTTATTCTGAGTTTTCATTAGTTCTGGTTTACAATCTCTGCAAATTCATAAGATGGACCTTGAGGCTCGAAGTATGCCTCCATGATTCGAAGTCCATGCTTCTTACCAAGTTAAGAGAGTATAAAACAGACCTCAACAATTTGAAGACTAATATTAACAGAATATCTTCAGGTAATTTAAATCAAGCTGCATGAGACGACTTACTGGAATCAGGAATGGCCGATGCAATGACGGTACTCTCCTTGGTTCTTTTCTTGCTTGATTTGATTTTTCTTATTGACTCATTCGCTTGATTTGGTTCTTTTATTTCCTATTGATCTTTGTCAAATTTTTTTTCTTGAAAGTGCTATTGTCTTTATAAAATAAAATGAGTCTTTTTCTTTTGAATCATGGAATCCTTAGATTAAATTTTTTGTATGTACTTCTGATCACAGGACATGCACGAACGCCAGTTGAAGGTCGTCTCCTCGATGCTACAAAAGGTTAGTACTTCTCCATATTTCCTTTGCTACCTCATGACCTGATTTGTCGTTTTTCAGGCTAAATTAATTAGAACATCATTTCAATAAGTATCTACATTTATATTTGCTAATCAGCTATTCTGTCCTTGCAGGCTCTGACCACTTGAGGGATGTTTTTGTCTAACAAATGGGTCTCTTCGACAAGGATAATGTTGCTCTCTGGTTGCCACGCTCTAATATATTGGCTTTTGGTTGTCATTTGACAATGAGCATGCTTAACCATCTGTTAAGTATATCAATCGGCATGTGTCAATAAAATTTTTTAATGATTTTGCAGGGAACGTGTCACAAGGAGCAATCTGAATTTGAGGATGGATGCACTGCCTACCCCCTCCAATTTGATAACTCCTACTTTAAGTGGTTCATGTGCTTCTGGGAGGAATAAATACAAAGTTTCAAATGTGTTTATTGTGTCCAGATGTTCTAATTTATTAGTCTTGTTTAACAGGTAGTCTACTTTTTTTTGGTTTGCCTTGTTTCTGGCTTTACAGGCGCGGAAAAAAAAACACTCTCCCAATCCCGCAATGATAAACCAAATCCCCAAATAAAATCCAGATTTGTCCAATGAAATCATCCGTGGCAGTATGAATTTTGGCCTACAAAATAAAAAATTGGGATTTAGCCAACTAAATCCGCTGGAGTTTTTGCCGCCTTAGTGTTTGAGATTCTTTTGTGGGGGGTTTTGAAGGAATTTTGGAGGTGAATTGCTGCGGATGGTTTTCCGCTGCTGCTCTCCTCGATTCTATTCCTCATCTTCATTATTGGCCGCTTGGCATTGCTACAGTCTGTAAGAATCGCTGGAGAAGAACAAGATAGTGATGGCTGGCAATGATTGATAGAGATGGCCCTCAAGGAACCAATGAGAAACAGAACATCGGCGTCGCAGAACTAGCCTTTCTTTTTAAGGTTCCACAGCCATGTTCTATGTAATTTAATTCCTGTGTTGATAATATCATAGTTCATTTTTTTCAATTGGATTGGAGTGTAGTTTTATTTTGTCAACAGAAAAATACATATCATCTGGAATTAAAAAAAATACTCAAGGCAAATTGTATTTTAGCTTTTGCTTTTAGTCAGGTTGTGGCCTTGAATACTGAGACTTTTCTTGTTCCTGCTGCCGAGTTTTCCCAGTTATTGAATTTTCTTTATAATGCTCACTGTGCCACAACAATGTAACTAACTTGCTTTCTGGGTTTGCCTCAGGTTTTTGGAAATTTCCACCTTATGATATACTAAATGAATTTCAAAAGGGTCTTAGCCACATTGCCGTTGTGTATAGAGATTTAAACAAGACAAAAGAGATAGCGAAGAAAGCGGAAGGTGAAAATCTAGCAGCTCTTCTTTATATTGTGCTACAAAGTGACTCTGCCGTTGATACATTCCTACTTGTCTCTTGGAATTTTTGCCAAAGGCTAATCTATCCACACAAGAATGCCTTGTGTAACGTCTATCCTTTTGATTTGAGCATGTGAAATTGGACTGTTTTGAGTTGCAACTTCTCCACTATATTCCTTTTATTTGTTCGTGATTGATAGACATATATAGTATATGACAACCTACTTCTTGCTTCTAATATGAACACCTGAAAAAATTGCAGACAAGAAAAATGCTGGGTTTAAGTCTAACTTGAATGATGCTAGCAACAAAGATGGAGAACAAGCAATAAAGAGAAGTCCTCCACCTACTCCTGTTTTCAAGAAGAGACACCGAGGTTGTTCATCTTGCAGTTTGGATTTGGAGAACTCCCCGATTCCTGAGTTCCCTCCCAATGAAGTAGTACTCAGTGTAATTACCATGGAGGATGTCATTGGGGAACTTCAGGTACTGTCTTTGAACCAGAACCAGAGAAACCATTTCTTTTTTCCGCTCTGTTGGAGAAACTAAACTTGTTGGGCTTGTAGCTACTACTCACCTCATGATGAATCCATGATTGATTTGTAGTTTGGAGTGTAATCCTGCATCCGGGCTTTTGTCTCTAAGAAACTGTACTCTTCTGTAAGTACAAACTACAGCTGCGAATACCATATTTACTCTGGTGTCACATACTAAAGATGACAGCAAGTAGTAACATTAAAATTTATGTATTTGTTCAGTGCTTTCTGGATTAAAGATGATGCAAAATCTCAAAATAAATTCGAGATTCAGTGCAGTTTTTACTAATTAACTAGCAGATTAGGGAGTGGGGTATAAATTTGGATCATGGGGTTACATTGATCATGCTTACACTGCTTCAGGTGTATATCTTGATGTTTGATTCCGTTGCTTTAATTTGTACTACTTTGATAAATTTTTGGATCTCCTTTCAACAATTATGTCAATCTCTACTTTTGTTTCAGAGCAATTATGGCAATGCATACTTATCTTCGTATGACTGTTTTGTTAGCAATTAGCATACTTTCATTTCTCTCAGTCTTATGATTTGAATTTTTATAGTTTAACACATCCTTCGTACGCTTTCTTAGAATACAACACTTTGTTGAATTAGTGCGTTATAACATATTGGGATATAAGCAATAACTAATTACAATTTACAAATAAATATAAGAATAAAATATTAACACTAAACGACACTAAAATCAAAATTGTATATAAAGAAAACCAAAATTATATTATTTGGTTTTGGTCATTTTTACTAAACCAAAATCCAAATTCAAAACAAATTTTTACGAAAATTAAAATTAACATTGCAAATTATAAATAGAATGTCTATGTACACAATTTTATGATGTTTGCCCAATGGAAGAGTTTTCACATACGATGTGTCTGTTCCATTGGATTTTTACTCTCACAATGATTTATTTCATTTGTAATCAATTGATTTAAATTTTTCTTTTTCAAAGTCCATTAGGTAAAATTTTTTACATATATATATATATATACATATATGTATTTCCTTAGTCAAAATATTTTAAGATTTTCCAAACATTCTATGTAATTTAAATTCATCATTGTAACTTATCATATTTAATAACGAGAGTGGTGTAAAATGATTTGACAAAAACACTGGCGACGGGTACAAGACTAGTGAAAAGTAAAAGTGTATACACTATATATTATTTTTTTCTTCTCAAATGAACAACATTAAACGATTTGCTTGAGGGAATGATTTATCTCTGTCTGGCTGCCTCTATTTATTTTATTACTTGACATCATTGAAGTCGTACTAACTAGTGTTCTTTATGAATTTTTGCAAATAAAAAATTAATCTGCAATATACTCCCTCCGGCCCTAAGATATTTTGATTTGTCTTAAGTTTCAACTAATATATTTTTTTAATTGAGAAAAAAGTTTTAAAACATTTAAAAAATCTTTTTTTAACTGAAAAAATATAATAAGTGAAATTTAACAGAAATCAAAATAATTTATAATGAGAACCAGAGGGAGTGGTGATTGTAGTACGAAAAAAGACTAAAAGCATCTTAAAGAAACAAGAAGTCCACGACAAGTTAAGCTCACAAAATTTACTCCCAAGACAAGATATGGTGGAATAGGCACGTCCATATAGCCATTATTAGGTTATACACCTTATCATCAAAAATCCCTCAGTAATTTCTTTGTTTTCCCTAAACAACACTAAAAGACATAATTTTCCACATTATGGTCTCCAACTGTGGTTAATTATAAACGCTTTAATTCGTGAATAACAAAAGTACTTCTGGTCCATCTATGTTGATTAATTAATTTGTTAAACTTCCCCCTTACGTCCTTTTCCGGATTGGTAACAAATGAATTAGTATCATTTTCCATAAACATCAATCCAATAAAATAATGACGTTTAGCTTCGACGAATTTTATATGTCCTCCCGCTACGTAGCCATAATATATTTGAGATCCAATCTTTTTTGGTTTTACATACATGTGATTATCATTCTTCACAGTTTGATGCATGTTATATGGTAGTAACTTATGCTATCACTTCAGTACAATATCAAATCACTGGAAAAAGTTAAACACTATCAAGTATTTAATTAACTAATACTCCATCCTGTTCTTAATATGAAGCATTTTGATTTGTCTAAAGTTTCACCTAGTACAGATTTTTAATTAATAAAAAAACTTTAAAAATATATTTTCACATTCGTTGTGTTCTTTTGATTGTTACAAAATATTTTTAAGATTTTTTCGTCAATTAAAAATATGTATTAAGTGAAACTTAAGACAAATCAAAATACCTTATATTAAGGATCGGAAGGAGTATATCGTATGAAATTAACACAAAAAAAGGTATCATTACAATATAATATAATCAATCTCCTTTATTAATTAAGGATTTGAAGTGATGATAAGGACATGAGATTCCGTAAGGGATGGATTAGTCAAAAATTAAGGAACATATTGTCACTTTCTCACGGTGCTGGGGCGCAAAATTAATCACTAATGTCTACGGACTACGGACTCACGCCTTTTCATTGTGCAACACCTTTCACTATAAGCTGTCCGTTCAACAAATTCAATTCAATTCAATCACAGAGGAAAAACCATGCTAGCTTTAACATACTATCTCCGTCCAATACAACTAAATTCATTTTATTATACTGTTTTAATTGGAAAAAATAGTTATTCTTTTAAGACGGGAAGAGTATTATGTTTTGGAAGTTTTAATTGATAATGACGCATGATTAAACAAGCTAACTCATTCAATTAAAGCTCATAGAGACCATGGCATGATCTATAACTAGCTAGGCATGAAACGATTAGAGACGAGACCTCTTGTCACACATTTCGCAATCTTATTTTTGTATCACCAATGAAGACAAGCATAGTGGTTATAGTACGTAGCACCTACAAAAAAAAATGATCAGAATGTGTGAGTGTTTGTTTGGACAAGCACTTATTTCTCATTTTAACTCATTTTATCTTTTAAACACAAAATTCAATGAAAAAGAAAACATCATCCAAATAACTTTCTGATTTACATTTTAAATTCCAACTTGAAATACTTTTTGTTAGTGCAATGACCATTTTAGAACTACAAATAGTTCAGAAACAAATTTGGCAGGATTCCGTTAGTGAATACTTATTTTTGGAAAAGTTCTTTTTCGCAGCTACTATAATTGACAGTATTTAATTGTTTAGTGATGACTTGTACTTGATATTTCAAAATGTAGTTCAAAATACTTTTTTTCAAAACCAACATCCAAACAACATTTTCATTTCCCATTTAGTTTTCAACTTAAAATACTTTTTACTTTTAAGTGGCAAAATGAAATGTAAGATGATATCCAAATAAGCACTGACATATTTTTAATCAATTTTCCGTTTTCAATTTCACTTTTTCTTTTCTTTTCCCCTGGTTGTGAAATAGTGATCAATTTTGGTCATACTGTATAAAATGCATGTTTGATAAGTAAGTTCTACTCGTTCCGTTCCAAAATTATTATCCAGTTTGGAGTTTCATTTTTAGTTCAAATTGTACTAAAAGTGAAATCTCAAACTGAACAATAATTTTGGACAGAGGGGTATATCGTAATAGTCTTATTAATACAGTAAACTCAAAAAGAAAACATGATTATTGTGTGAAATGCAATTGAGGGAGAGTAACTAACTTTGAAAATGATCCAAAACAAGGGGGAAAAATTATTTCGGGAAAGTTTGTCGGGAAAAGGCAACGCTCAAGTTATATAAATAATCGACCAAAGCTCTAAGCTTCTTTTAAATCTTGCATTGGAAACGTTTGTTCCCATTTGTTCTTCTATGTATGAAAAAGTTTAATCAACACCATTTCCCCTAAAAGCCCCAGCAATATTATTAGCAGGGACTAATGCATGTTTCTTTTTTTAAAAAAAAAACGAATTATTATGATAATATTATTTGTTAGCTGACAGTATGTGTCAAAGATTTGTTGAAAATAATGTATGTGTTTCTATAATCTAAAATAACTATAAAGTTGGAAACCTCAGACCTATAATATTGCACACGTGAAATGCAAATCGTAGAACGCAGCAGCCCTAAAATCTATATTCATTAATTAATCACCTATGATTATTTTCGCAAAATCTTCTTTAAAGCGTGTGAATTTGAGCTATATTTAGTAAGCACCAGTACAGAAGATTTTCCGGGGAGAAAATAAATCTGGGTCCATAAGCCATAAGGTTGATGATAAAAAATTGGAGCACATTGATAATGCTCTTCAAGATTTGAAGGGAAAAAATCCTCCCACTTCTCCTCTCATTTTCCCTGTAGTGTACCATTTATTTTCATTTTGTTTTCATATATAACACGATGTCTATTATCGACGGCAATAATAATGCATAACTACGTATTAGTATTTATTTTCATAATCTTTTCTTATGAAAGTAAGGAAGCTAGAGCAATTATCTCCCGGCTATTTGATAGAGTACTAGTAAATAAACCCCTTTTGGCTTACAATTTGTGTCAAGTCAATCTAATATCCTCCCCTTCAATTCTTTAGCAGTATTTGCTCCAACTCAAAATGATTGTCCTATATTATATTATTAAGATAATGTAACAAACAGAACAATTATTTCGTGATTAAGAAGTTACTCACTCTGTCCCAAAATTATTGTTCAGTTTGAGATTTCACGTTCAGTATAATTTGAACTAAAAATGAAAACTCAAACTAGACAATAATTTTGGAACGGAGGGAGTAAGTTTTTTTGCTATTTGCCTCACAAAGTCCCAATTAAAGGAAATAATTTCTTTTTTTTTTTCTCCCTTTCTCTCTCTTTTTTTTTTTGGTACAAACAAGCATAGAAACACTCTTTGACTAATTCTTCGTATTAAATGGCATAAAAAAAGAAATTTTCTCTTAAGACTCATTCATCGTGAAAGAGGGCACGAATTTTGAATAGCTAGCACCCATATCAGTAGTAGTAATCAAAATTTTAAGCAACGTACTCTGGAGAAGTAGTATTGACTAGAGTACCACGGCACATATATATTGATTAATGTCGTTGACAAATGCAGTTAGTTTTAATTAAACAATAGTGTTGTCGCCACTCCCCACAATTAAGTTGAGTATCGCATGCCAGTTGGGTTTGGTCCCAAAGGCAAAGATGATAATTAAAAGTGTGTTTGTGGGGTTTTGGATTAAGTTTGGAGCTTAATCAACTTGAACCGCTTGCCTTTTACCGTGACAACAACGTAACTCATTATATAATTCACTTTGATCTTGCTAGTTTTTAAGCTATGAGGGATATGGATAGGGATTTGGGACATGGGATTTTCAAACTAGTCTCAGTTGACGTCGACAATCAAAGTATTATAAAAATGATAAGATAATAATATATGGAAGTCTCGATATACATAGGAGGTAGTATTTGATTTAGTTATGATGATATTATAAGCCTTACATATTCTCGTCTTAGAAAATAAACAGACCAAAGAAAACAACTGGCTTTGAGGAAAATAAGGTCTCTAGAACCTCGGCGAGGATGTTGATCTTCTGATAACAAAATCCCATGATACATTGCAGTGCCAGTTTGTTTTTACCTCCTGCTTGTCTCCTCAATTTGTTAATCTTCTTTGTCTCTATCCTCAGTCAAGTTGACTCATGGAACTCAATAGTCAATTCAACCATGGTTAGTAAACCAGGTGTGGTGGCTTTAAAAATTAACCCAAAAAAGAAAAAAAAAACTACACTCTAGTAGTCTTAACTATTCCATTAAATTTTGCACATAATCCAAACCCCAAATTTAAAAATTATTACACGTACATTTGTCCCAAAATAATTATTTTATTTACTGTCAAAATAGAGATATATAGTATTATATTCTACGGAGAAGGAAAACTAAATCTATACGTACATGCAAAGCAAGTGTTGGCATTTCCAAGTACAACAACCCGTTTTTTTTTTATATTATTATTATTATTCAATTCATAGACTTAGAGAATATTACAAAAGAGAAGTTACGTAACGTACCCACAGAGGCAGGACTAAGGTTTGGAGGGGGGAACAAAGATATTAATTCCAACGTCTAAAAATTCATATCAGTAGGGTACTAGCTAGCTAGTACTAGTATTTGTAGAATGTAAGTACTACTAAAAAGTTCTATAATAAGGTAGAAAGTGTTGGACCAAAGTAAAAAAAAAAATCATCAAATTTCAGCTCTAGCTCTTCTCGGAAACGAAGCGGCAATGGCCGCCGGAATAAGCCGCCGGCCGGGCCGAGCCCCGGAGTCTCTCAAGGAACTGGCTAAATTATACATCATCATCGGCTAGTTTGCTATATTAAGATAGTAAGCTTCTAATAATTGCAGCTTCAGGGCTTTCGGCATCAATGGTGGACAGAAGTTGAGAAAGACGATCGCTTAGGTCATCAACTTCTCTGTGCAAGTTTCGGATGTAATTGCAAGTCTCTTGTAGCACCTTTGAGGCTGTTGCCTACACAAAATTTAAACCAACAACTTAATTAATGCCACAAAACTCTTCACTATTGATGAATTGAAGCCACAACAAAATTTTGTTTATATGCATTTCTCTCACATAGAGTATGAGATGACGATATATGATTCATATAAGCAGAAACCCGACAGAATGCGGTAAAAGTTGGTGTCAACATACAAATTACTGAAATCTATAGTTTTTTTCATTAAAAAGAAAAAAAAGAATGGGAGTGAGTACCTTATTGGAACGCCTTGTACGAATCTCAGGAAGAAGTTGCTGCAACTTTGAGACGAGCTCAATAATCTGATCATCTGAAATCCTAGTAGACCCTGATGATTGCCTGGACCTTCTGCTAGACATATTTGTTTATGGCTTCTTTTTTTATATATAAAAAGAAAAAAAAAATTCCTTTGAAACCTTTCTCTTTATGTGTAGTCTCCAAGCTACTTGGAGGTGGTTTAGGATGACTAAAAGTTCTTGTAATGGAGAGAGGGATTTCAAGCAGTTTGAAAAATACTTTTGTAAAAGGACTGGAAAATGTGAAAGAATGGAAAGAGAAGGGCTTAGTAGTTATAGGGGAGAGAGGTGGGGTGGAAGATCAAATACTAGGCGCTGGTGGGCTAAACCCATTAAAGAAAAACACACACACTCAAACACATAAAATTAAACAAAAAAAAAAAAAAAGAACAGTAAGAAATGGTGGGAAAGGACCACAAAGTTAAGCAGAAGAAATTAAGGGGGCCGGGAGTGAGGAACAATAACATAAACAAAATTAAGAAAGACAGCGATGTTGGATGTGAAGAAGACAACTGCATTGGAGAAAGCAGTAAGAGAGTAGGCTGCTTCTATTTTTATGAAGGGAGGAAAGAGAGAGAGAGAGGAACTAAAGAGGTTTTTCTAATCTTGCCTATAATAATAAAGAGTAATCTTAAATTATTTAATCAGTTGTCCACTAATCGAGTTGTTTACAACATAGTATTAGAGAATTAATTAATATTATTGACGGTAAATCTCTTATTTTTTTTAACATGAAAGGAAAATTAGAAAAGTAGAAAAAAGAGAGGAGTGGCCAAGTTAGGAATGTAAAGCAAATTGATTTTTAGTTGTTTGCTCCCAATTTGCAGGGATTTTAATTTTATTTTTTTTCTTCAAATTTTTCCAAAAGTCTCTATCAAATGTCTCACTAATAATTACAAACCAAATAATAGTATGTGTTTTTTGTTTGTTGTACTAAGCAAATTTAAGTGTGGACCTTCTATGTACATGTCTCAATATACAAGACCATGTGATCATTCTCTACTCATCACGTCGGTCTTAATACTCCTCCCACACCAGATCGACCTGAAAGCAATCTCAATTGATTTTGTTCCAGGAAATTGCTATGACTTTTAGGTGGAATCGACCTCACAAGTAAAAAAGCTATAGCATTTACATTCTTGATTCTACAATGTCACTATTTTGATATCCAAAATCAATGGCTTGCTTAATTGTGATGGGTAAACAATTCACTGATTTAGCTAGTTAAAACTACTATAACAGAATAATAAATGCTACTCCCTCTGTCCCATAAAAATAGTCTATATTGAGTTTTGAGTTTTGTACTCTTTTTAGTACAAATTTGAAAACTCAATGTGGACTATTTTTTGGGATGGAGATAATAATAAAAATTTACAATATGTTGTATTGAAATATTCGTGTTCTGGTAGATTATATTAACCCTATACCAATAATAACACCTCAGTAAAATACTATAATCATGTGTTTTTTGAAGAAATGATTTGTCAAAAGTAATAATGTTTTGACCTGTGATTGACCATCCGGACAATAGTCTTTTAATTTATATGAAATCTTGACATAACTAGTGTACTAGATAGCAATCTTAGCATGCGAAAATTCACCTTTTTTTTTCTACCGCGATTTTATCCGTGCGGGCCGTAATTTGTTCTATTTTTTTGTGCATGCTTCGGTAGGTGTAATGTATTATGTTTTCAATTTCTCTTGCATGCATGACAAACTTTGTTGACTAATTTTTGTAATGATACTTTAGAGTTTTAGATTACCAATCAAGTGTATTACTTTAATTGGACTTTGGACCTTCAATCCGGAAATATACTTTAATTTGAATCCGAATAGAATCATAATTTGTGACGGTTTTTCTACCCAAAAAATGTACTCCCTTCGTCCCATAATTATTGTCCAGTTTGAGTTTTCATTTCTAGTTCAAATTATACTAAAAGTAAAATCTCAAACTGGACAATAATTTTGGGACAGAGGGAATATTTATTATTATTGTTAGCGTTTCCTTGATGTATCCTATCCCAAAAGGGGGGGAAAAAAAGTTAAGAATGCTAATATCATACGAAAAGTTTTATTTTTGTTTTGGTACAAAATGTTGATAATGCAGTTTAATTATCTACTTATCGTCGTCCCACATTCCGCTCACTTTAATTTTAGTAAATTGACTGAACTAAACTAAGCAGGCATTTTTCACCAAAAATAAATAGATAACATTTCAAGTAATTTTATGACTCAAAACGTATTGCGCACCCTTCAATGACTTCTGTGATCGATGGTCTCTGAATTCATCCCTTGATGTAACGAACCAAATGGGAAACTAAACTTTGATTTGATGTCGATGTGTATACTTGCTTAATTTGATTTTTTTTGTCATCTTCAATATAAATGGATCACAATCATTAATCATATACATGATTATCACAATTAATCATAGTATATTTCCATCTTTTTCATATTAGGGATAAATTAATCCGAGCATCTTTTCTTAAATCATGTTGCTTGAGAAAGCATAATTTGAAATGATATATTCCTTTTCACTAAATCTCAACCTAATCGCCGTCAACTTGTGTAAATTAATCTCGACCTAATCGCTGTCAACTTATGGATTTAACTAAATCAGAGGTCTATTCGTTCACCTCTTCAGTGTACGTCACAACCCTATTTCTTCATTTTTGAGCTTCCTGAGGATTTAAACACTCCATATATCAATGGTCTCAAACTTCTAGCCGGAATTTTTCTCCCGATACCATGAAAAAGGCAATGCTAAAATTGATTGCAAATATTGTGCGGACTAGGAATATCGATAAAATTGTACTATTAATTCTAACTTAATTTAGGTGGTGCCTAGATTTGTTAAAATCGGACCTGACTTTAAGGTATTGTAATCCATAATACAACCATTAATTAATCCGGCCTTTGTAAAGCTGCAATCGTCCTTCATAGGAATCAAAACTGATTCACCTCCATTCATTTTTGAACTTTTGGTACACGCTGTCGGCAAATTTTATTTGAGAAACTATGAAGTTCCTACCAACTGAATTAAAAAACTTAAATTTCCAGAACAGATGGCGTAGGACTCAATTATGTAAGTCTCAAATTGGCTCATCATTAACCCAAGCAGCATACTATTCCCTCCATTCCAAAATAAGTGTCGTTTTGGCAAAATGGAGAAATTCCAAAATAAGTGTCGTTTTCGGATTCCAATGCATTTTTTGTCAAAAATTTCCAAACATACCCTCAAAAGAAATAATATTATTGGTGAACATTTATTTTAATGGGGTTAGTTGAAGATATTCTAGTAATTTAGTTACCTTATTTAATGTTTTATTAAATTATGTGCAAACTCTAGAATGACACTTATTTTAGAACAGAGGGAGTACTAGATACAATAATCACAAGATTATATGATCTTAATCATGTCAATTAATTATACTAACGTGGTATGAAAACCACGATCAAGAAAGAATGTGCATGGTGCAACGTGCCTATAGAGTTTGATACTCCTTATGTTTGAAACCGAAATCATCTTTTATTGAATAAAAATCTTGCAATAGATTCATGTGAACTTTTTATTTGAGGATTATAAAAGAGTAAATAATTTCAACCAATTTTCATGTGTTTTCAATCAATACACCTAATTTTGTTGCCCCTTAGCTTAAATATTCAGTTTGTCAGAGCAAACATTGTACTTCTCTTCTTCAACTACCTCATTCAAAAATGTCTCAACATTCATACTACGTACAAATTTCAGTTAGTTTGACCGCTAAAAAAATCTCATCGCACGAACAGTTTGCCGTCTACAGACAGGCACAAATAAATAACAAGAAGTGATTAGTCCTGGACTTATGCATCGATCTAATTAATCCTGGACTTCTAGTAATTAACCTTAGTTTCACAACTAATTAATCCTCAATCAACATTTCCATTGGACTTATACTTTTAATTGCATCGTAAAGTAATTTACATGCAACAAGAGTCACCAAAGTTTTTACACATTCTAAGTGCCATAAACTTTTTATTTTTCTCTTTTTCTTTGGGGGTTGCAAAGTGACTACATTAAGGGTGTCTCTTTCTTTTGTTGTTAACAGAAAAAATATCGATCGGCATGTTCTTCAAAAGAAAAAATGTAAACTACATTAAGAAGAATTACTGCTAGTCGTTTAGTACCACATAATGGATAGTAAATGTTGGAGACACCCTCCAGAAGGGCGAATTTGATACAATTTGTTTGGAACAATTTTTTTTTTTATTTTACTGGTATATATGGCTGAAAATACAATTTGACCTAAATTTTTCACCCGCATGAGATAGTTTAGAATTTTAGCCTTTTGCCTTCTTGTACTATTTTCCGAACAGAATGAAAGAACGAGTAATTATAAGTACAACATTTTCCGGTCTCCTGACCTAAGACAGACTTGAGAAATCAACATTCCAATCAACATGGATCTGCAAAGGTCAACCGATATTGAGTAAAAATCCTATCAACCAGGTAAAAATTACAACCCACCTACTAAAACCCTTGTACACCTTCGTATTGCAACAAAATATAAAACAAAGAAAAAGAGAACAAAAGTTAGATACAACTATTTCTGTAAGTAAGGTATAATTTGATCAAAATATGAAAACCTAAAAGAGGAACCAAAAGTAAACTCTTTTGCTACCCGTTTTGGGAGGCAAAAACAACGGATCTGTAAGCAAATCAGAAATGAATAGTTTTAAACAGTGTCAAAAGAAAAAATAGTTTTAAATTATTACAGGGCGCATGATTGAGCATGTAGAAAAGATACATGTGGACATAGAAAAGTAATACGGCTAATGTATAAATTAAAGAATTGAAACGAGAGGCGGCAGAGTATCTGATTAATTTAACGTATGGAAAGATTGTGTTCCAAAGATAGGTACTAAATGATGATAAGGATGTCTCAGCAGCCATCCGTATCCCATACTTCCAACTAGCTAGCTATTATATATAGGGGCCAAAACCAAAAATTAGTTTAATTTATATAGAGTTTTTTCTTTCTCTTTTAATTTTCTCTTTTAAGAAGAAGACGACCAAAGAAAATGATCACACATGATTGGCACGTGACCGGATATACTGATTACACGTGATTGGAATTCAAGAGCTGTAGAGGATGTAAAGCGATGTGCTAGTAGTATCTGATGAAGACATTTCAAGGGCGCTATGCAAGAAGCAGAAATTTTTGTAAAATGCTGAATAAATTGCTCAAGTAACTTTTATTCACTGTCTATTTCACGGTAGAGTAGGGTGTTTTTTATTTTTTTTTCCTTTTCTTCTTTAACTGTCTTTAAATATTTTATCACACATTAATTTCTTGGCACTAT